CTCGGAAAAAGGTAGGAAATGTCTGTTATGTGTTGCTGTAATTTAATTGTTCTTTCTTTGATGTTAAGAACATCAAAACACCCCTTAGCAATCGAGCTAAGAATCTATTGACAAAATCTACGATTTCTCGCAGTGTAATTTAAATAAACAAAAAAAAATTGAAAGGTTTAGAGTAAAAGTATATGCTATTTTTCCTACACGCTAAGATTTTTCTTCAATGTAAATGTTTTCATGACTGTGAATATATGAAAATGAAGTGATGAATACACTGGTTTATTTGGAACCATCGTAATGACCAGCTCCCACTTGGCATGTTAGCTCAGTTGGTAGATCACTGCACCGGTATCGCAGAGGTCATGGGTTCAAACTCCGTACAGGCCTGAATTTTTTCCGAGCCTTATTTTCACTCCTGCTTAAGTGGTATTCATTACTGCGAAGATCGCGTTTATATTCATTTCGTAAGCTTTATCAATGTGTCTTAAGAACACGAACTTATTGAGAGTTGGAGATAAAGGGAAAATGAAGGGAGCGACCGTCTGTTTTCTTAAAAGGAAGGAGGCAAATGTAAATTACTCCCTAGCTACATTCAATAAACGAACTCAGATTTTTACTCTGTTATTTAAATAGTATGAATCATGACGAACCTGGCCGATGCTCTTAACAAATTTATATTTTGTTTGTTTAGCTGTATTTATTTTTAATATCATAAGTATTTTTCTTAAGTTCATTTATCCAATAGTCCGACTTTACATGTGCTTCTTGTAAACGATATATCTCCATAAGCACTGCTGTCAGTTATCATGACATTATGAATTTCTCTTCATAGAATGCACTTGATAATGACCTTATTTTATTTGCCTTTGGTGGTTGCTGGATGCAGAACAGTTAAATTTATCAAGGAAGAAGGTGTTGCTCTTCAGAATCACGTCATTAAAACTGTGTCTGATTCTAAACCAATATCATGTGGCTGGCAATGTGCAGACACTCCTCTGTGTTTCTCTATGAACGTCAGAAGGTTACCAAATGGATGGGTTACGTGTGAGCTGAACAATTCCAGCAAAACCGCCGACCAACAAAATTTGATATTAAGTCCTGGCAGTCAATACCATCAGTTAGCGGTAATGCATGCTATTACTATCCTTGGTATTTAAGAGATTCTCTATCAGATTCAACTGTGTAGAAGGAAAAACGTCCTGAAATTTAGCATGTTGTGACCTGATTGAAGAGACCCATATCAGAGCAGTGTCTGAGGCTATAATGAAAATCTTTAGTTCTCGAAACGAACAGCGTGATTGCAGGCTGGCTCTTCTAAAATGTACGTTTATCTTACTTTTAGGAAGTTGAACGTTGTACAGTGGACCAATGCATCTACAAAGACGGTAAAACTGCTCAATGAAACTTCTTTATTCTGCAATAAGCTAATCACCTCCTCTTGATAATATTTAATGTTTTTGTCATCACTTCCTTTTTCCCTTATTTCTCCCCTGATTGACACCTTTTGCGTCCGTGGAGTTACTCGATTTAACATTTCTCTACTAAAATCATCACATTGTAGATTCACCGCTGTATTTTAAGTTCTGTATAAGCAGGGGCTCAGTCGCTCACGTGACGCGTTTAAACCAATCACGCGCGAACAAACACATTAGATGGATTATAACGCTGTTTGTGCATTTTCACAGCTCTTCCAGATGACTGGTACAGAGTTGGTTCCAAGCTCTTTAAATTGTTTCATGACAGAAAGACCTGGGGACAAGCCCGACAGTTTTGTCAGTCAATTGGTGGAGACCTTTTGTCAATAAACCAGGAAGACGAAAACAAATTTGCATTCCAGCTACTCAACCAGATCAAGCCAAATATAGCAGGCACGTTCACCAAATCCATTTATACTTTTTTTAAAATCATAAAGCTTATATTTTCCCAGAAAATACATTCACACCCTTAACTATTAGTTCTTACCTATGATCTATCAGAGGCATATCCTTAGATTCGTCATCAGTAAGTGCGTCTGTTTGGTTTTTGGTACAAAACGTCAACATTTAGTAACTTCTCCCCGTTGGCTTTTATATGATATCAAAAGCAGTTCATTAAAACTCTAGCAATTGAAATAAGATCTGGAGTGAATTATTTGTTCTTTATAATAGGTAAAGATGTGATTGGTCACTGGTTTCTGGATGGTTCTGACGTTGATGTCAGGTTAGGCTCAGCACACTCTTTAAAAGTTCCCACTGACTGCACTGAATGACACATTCCCCTAATTGCGTGCGTGAGGGGGTGGGCGTTACTTTTGAGAACGCGATTGCTTGCACGTCATCTATATTACCTGTTTGCGGCTCAAAAAAACAAACCGACAGTGGGATGGGGCTCCTCAGGTACAGGTGATCCACTAGAGAGAGTGATGCGATATGTGATAAAAACAATCCGGCACATCTTCAAATGTTAGCAAGACGCAATGAAAAGGTCCCTTCTGCCAGAGAACCCGATCTGCTCCTCCATAGATCTCTGCAGCGGTAAAAAAAAAAATTGTGTTTTTAATATCATTGAGAATTCTTATATTTTTTATTAGTTTATTTCATCGCCAAGTACTCAGGCTTATGCAGACTGGTGTCAGATTTATTCAGGAGATCCGTCCTTACTCCCTCAACTTAAGCGACGTTGAGCACGATCTCTGATTGGATTCCAGCTGAACACAAAGCATCCATCACAGTTTTATTTTATTCTTTCAACAGTCTTTTCAATGGAGCGAGATACAAAGAAGAAAGCTCCCGGAGTGCGAAAGCATTGTACCTCGACGGACTGTTTGCTTATGCCACAACTCCAGCCGTTAACTTTTTGTCAGTCAGTTTCACTTTGGTCAGCTGGGTCAAATTGGAGGATCCTGTTAGAAGTCCGTCGACCATATATGGATATTGGAAAAACCCCAATCTTTTCCGTTTCACCGCCTTCCTCGCTGACAACCTCCAATTTGAATTTCAGAATCGCGACGCGCAAGGAGGGCTCCTGAACAAAATTGATACCAGGGGAGGGTAAGAATAAATCAAGTAATCCTTACTGTTGAGCGATTTCGTGCACTGGAAATCCGCGTTTCTTTTTACATTTCCTCCTCGACCTCCCCTCCCCCCCCCCCCACTCTCCTCCCCTCCCCCTAACATTTTGAGATACGTCTGAGTCAGGTTAAGAAGACAGTCAACTCTAAAATTCGAAATAATATCTGCTGCCGAATGTGAAAAATAAAAGGCTAAGAGGGACATTTCCTATATTGGCATTTTAGTTTCCAAAGCTTTTTGCAATTTTTCAGAAATCCCGCCTAAACTTTGTGTTTCATATATGACTTTTATCTTGACAGAAATCCGAATAAGGAGATATGGTTCCACGCTGCCGCGGTGTGGAACAAGACTATGAATAAAGCTTATTTATATCTTGACGGCACAGTAGTAGGGACTTCTAGTGGTCCGAGTGGCTTTGATCCGACCGAATTTAAATATACATTCTATGATATTGGACTGAAGAGAGACGCCAATCACACAATGAAAGGATATTTGAGAAACCTGATGATTGTTCGCTCTGCTCTGACTGGTGAAGAGATTTTCAGAATGAAAGGTACAACAAATTAAAGTTAACCAGTTAAAACAGTCAAAACGGCAACTAAGTGCCGAGTCGCACAGACAAACTTCAGACACTCCCGTTTAGAAATTATAAGAATGATTACCACATGTTTAAGCGATAAATACTCATTTTAACAAGAGAAATTTGTTTTGTTCTTTGATTTTGGACAAAAAGAACCTCATTACCCAACGAGGAATCGAGCCCAAGACCATCGGAATTTGCGCTCCGATATCCTATGTCTTATTTTGCGGTTATACTGACATAATATGTTAGAAATAGTTTACTAAAGTATCTACCTGATTGCAAGAATTAGTCACTAACTGAAAGAAACGGAGTGCGAACTTAATAAGAGTACCATATCCATCTCATGCAACCTTGAGTAATTCCAAAATCTTACATACTTTGAAAACGTGTGGGCTAATTCTGATCCATGTAAAATGCAAAATTTGCTCTGCGAAAAATCCTTCAGAGTTTTCTTAGACTGCCTTTAACCCAGAGACCAACGTACCAGTTGAGCTTAGTTGCGAATTCGCTTTGGAAGTCCTGTTTATATTCTGGATTTACTTTTTCAGATCTAAATAACGAAGCCTTTGCTGGTGCTTGGATCGGTCTAAATGATTTACGCACAGAAGGAGATTATCATTGGCCCGATGGTAGTCAGGTGACATACGAAAAGTGGCACCCCAACGAGCCAAATAACGCATATGAATACCAAAACTGCGTTCAAATGCGTATCAATGACGGGACCTGGGACGATGCGAGCTGTGGAAAGCGTCTTCCTTTTCTTTGTGAAAAGAAACATTGAACTGTCTGCCATTCCTAACTTATTAAAGAGAGCCAACACATCATTAATTTAAAATCAAAATCAGGCTTTCCTGTTTGTCTGTAAAGCTTACATCAACGGACCAAATAGTAATTTTGATTTAATAGGCAAGAGCCCAACTCTTCTAATCACGAGTGCACATACTTTCAAACAACTCATATAGCCCCTTTTATTCAGTCTTTTCTTAAGCAATCATTTCGTGCGAGGTGAAAACTTACTGAAGATTTTACTCTAAAAACCAGGCGAGTGGACTTGCTATGAGATCAGAGCAATCACCAAAGCATCATGTTAGAATGTAGTTGAGTCATTTTCGTATTTCTCCAGCGTGTGACCAAATCGAGCCAAACTTATTATTATTATTATTATTATTATTATTTTATTGTATTATTGTAATTATCATTACACAGTTTCTCGTTTATGTAACATAGGATATGTATCTTTTATCCTATGGTTTATTAAAGACTTCAAGAAAGACTTCAAGACTTCAAGAACAACATTCCAACTATTGCCTTTAGAGGCAAGCTCGCCTCTTTTGCAATGGTTCTAGTTTATAAGCAAATGCAGTATATATAACTGGTAACCAATAATCACAGATTTCCTTTATTTGATATTTTGACTAACACTAGTGAATTCTCCTAGTCACACTTGTCAGAGTATAAGTACACTTTCACTTAAGACTGTGAATCACAATATCTCGGTGAGTTTCATCCAGGACCTGAAACAAAAAGACACTTATTATCATTAATAAATAACTAAAGCAAGGGAGACAACACAAGAGTGACTCGGTGCATTTGTATCATGTGTTTAACAATTTGATTTCTCAGTGTATTAATTTATTGAAAATTGTACCATAACACACGCAGGAGGCAAAACAAAGCAAAAGTTTTAAAAGAAAGGAAATCAGTGTAAAATTATGCCTCTGTTGTTAATCATGGTATCTTGATAAACGAAGGTGATAGCAAATCTAGCGATGCAAGTTAAATGATGTCTAAGTCAATTCAAAGAACGGATTTAGCTTAATATGCGAATGAATCTGTAACTGGTCCGATCACAGGAAGGTAGCGACAGCCTCACATTCATGTGCACGCGTTTTCCAATTGAATTGTTATTCATTGCATTCGTCTCTTAACAGAAAAATGATAAAGAGATCCAATAAAAAACAAATGGATATCAATAACAAGTCTTGTCCTCAGAGTATACCAACCCCTGAGCTTATAAAGATCCAGTATGAGCCTCTGTTCGTTACAATCGTCTTTCCAAAAAACAGCAGGGACTCCCTCCATGGGTTGACCTCTGTATGGATGGACGCAAAAGCCCGAGGCCTTATGTTTCAATGTTTTGTGAGGGGTCCTGTATATAAAAAACGATACAAAATATTATGAATTGACTATACTTCCTTCAAAGTCGACCTCTAACCTGCATGGAACAGGCTAAACGACATCAGGGAGTGAGATGAAAGAATTGACCGACAAGAATTTTAAGAAGGCTCAAAACTAATTCTTCCCCCGCCAAAAAAAATAACCACAAACAAACAATAACAACAACAGTAGATATGTACATGTGTTAACGAAAGGAATGACATGTCTGTTTTGTACCACAGATTATTGGAAATATACTCTTTTGCCCTGTAAAGGCAACTGAAAAGTCTTTTTAATGCACTAGCTCATTGAAAGTCTCTTGCATCACCTCTCAGAAAATAGTGATGTTCCATTTACTGCAGTAATGATACTTAAGGTTAATGTGACCCGAGTGGTTAAAAGTTTTACTCCTGCAATGATGTTTATAATCTTTTGAGACTTTTCATTTTGCTCTCTGTACCTTTGAAATTTCGACACATTTAAATCACAGGTACTGGAGAGAACCAGACGCATATCCGCTGTAACTCCTCTTCCTGCAATCGTAACAATAGTATCGTTTGTAGTTCTGATTATTTATTATTCCACTTGTTTTACAGTGGATTTGATTTATTTTTCTCCAAGATTTTCCAATACACGAACCCTTTACCTTTCCTGTGTTGAGCGATATTTCGGACGAACGAAAAACTCAAGCATCGACTTTAAGGTGGCTATTCAGAATGCTCTACACAATACAAACTCTAATTAGTATTTGTCTTTGTGGAAGGATTTAAAACCGAAATCCCGGACAAATACCTTCGGAAAAAGGACGCAAATTAATGATAAATCCCAGCACACGCCAAGTTCTGGAATCGAACCCAGGCCCCTGCGATGGATAGCAAGTGCTATTACTACTGCCCTATTATGTCCTTGATTTCCTTAAAATACCAAACTTACCCTCGGGACAGACTCTCTTCCCACTGCAAGTATGCATAAGGACTTCATCTTTGTAAGTGAAGTACATGTAATATTTGTCGCATCGAGGGGACTGGTGATAGACAAGTGGACTGTTGTCCGCTGGATTACAGCTGGCGCTTTCTGGTTGAAGGCAGAACCCCCCAGGTACTTGTACTGGACTGTGAAAAACTACAAAGCAAAAGCCTAATGTAAAAGACTCTTTCAAAAAAGTCCTTTTGAGATAAACCTTTACTATTTAGGTTTTTAAGGTCTCCTTTTACACTGATTAAGGCGACACCCTCACATTATCAACCATTCAAATCGATCGACTTAAACAACAAATGGAAAGCCCCGCTACACTTTCTTCAACGCTTCATTAAGGGACAAGTAATTTTTGCACAGGTTTACCAACCTTGTAACTTGAGGAAGTCAAGTCGAAGTCTGTCTTCGCTGCAATCATCTTTCCACATTATGGCTGTCGTACTGCTTATTGGTGTCCCGGATAAGGGATGTACACAGAACCCGGATGCTGTATGTCTCAGAGTTGTATAAACAGTCCTAACAAGTGATTAAAGTTGAGCTGATAAAGTGTTATAAAAAGATGAAATTCGAAATTTCCGAATGCACAGTGCATTATGGGGTTGAGTTACAGACCTTTGGAATTTGGACGCATCTGATTGGCACGTGCTTGATAAGACCAGCGATGTTTGCCAGGTCACTGTTCCTGTTAAGCAAAGAGGAAGTTCACTTAACGCTGGTTTTTTTGTCCTAAAGTGTAAGGACCTCACACAGTGAGATGGCAAGAAAGTAAGAAAACTCGGGTGCATTGGTAAACAGTCATTTATTTTTTACCGATCTGCGATACGACTTGTGCATTTTAATTCTCAAGATGAGGAGATTAAAATGCTTGGTAGTATTAATGCACTCTGCCGTCTTTTAATCAAGTGAAGTTTTGAACTTTTTTTGACGTTGTATAAAATTTTCGCGCTAAAATACCAACAAATTAAACGTACCTAAAGGACAAACTTTCTTTCCACTACATTTATGAGTAAGAATATCATTGTGATGGGTGAACATCATGTAATCCTTTGAACATTCTGGCGTATCCTTTATATAAACCAGTCTGGTATTGTCCGCCGGACTGCAATCCTTACTCTCAGGCTGAAGACAAAAACCACCGTAGGCTCTGATCGGACTTTCTGCAAGATAAACTAAACAAAAGCCGAAATTTATTTTCCAGCTGGATGGTGGCCATGCAATAATGGTTTAACAATTTATCTTTTTATCTTTATTTTATATTTATTTTTCTATCTTCTTAAAGAATTTAAGATAATGGAGTGAAACATCGCATGTGAAACCTGTTTTAACCCTTTAAAACCATGCGTGATCAAGACAGAATTTCTTCCTACAATATCAAAAAAATACCAAGCAGACAAGTGATGACAATGAAGAAAAATATCAATCATGCAGGGGATTACTAGTTGATCCAACGCCAAATTCTCCAAAAGGACATCACAGGAATTGTATGGAGAATTACTAATGAGGTCTTGGGCGTAAAAGGGTTAACTAAACTTGCCCTCTTCTCATGAGGGAAGAAAAATCAAGCCAGTGGCAATCTGTTGAATGATTTGCTCGTGTTTGGATCGAATGGAAACATTTTTCAATTTAAAGTAATTCGAGTCAACCCCCCCTTCCCCAAGTCCATGGTTGGATAAGAGTCGAAATACGATCCAATTCAAGGCTGCAGGGCAAAAACATCGCTTTGCTTCATTTCGAGATGAATTAAAATATTAACTCAGATTCCAAGTTAAAGTTGATTCTCCCTAGAAAAAAGAATAGGCTGTCAACTATTAGCCTTTAACTCCAAGATCTGATTGTCAATTCTCCCCTCTAGCTACTACACATTTCCTTGTAAATTGATCACGAGAATTAGGTGCAATCAAGGTAATAAATTGTATCTGATGAGTTTGAATATTCTCACTACCTGTTTGCTGTGTAATGTACGGATACTATGGGAAGAATTTACATGTTAATCACTTCTGGGAAGTTAAAGGGTTCATTTTCCGAATAATTTCCAGGCAATCTGTCACAAATTTTGATGTGATGTTCATGATCCGAATATACTAACCTGGAGTTGGCTTTTTGTCAATTTTACCCTCGTTCATCCAATACCAGATCAAGCCTGGGTTCGTCATTACACCGTATATCCAAGGAGCAGGATTGTTCGATGTTTTTTCGGAGATGATCGTTCCCCATTCAGAATAATCCGAGTGTGTCGAAGTTGTTAATAAACCTGATCTTGCTCCTAACCATGGCATGCGCTTCTCAAGTGAGTCTTGCCAGTTATATCTCCAAACGTTATAACGTTTCACGAGAGCAACGTCTGTCTGCTGGTTATTTTCGTTAACAAAGCTGATGGTAAATAAAATAAAACTGACAAGACGGTAAAGGACCAGTAATTATTTATCGCCTGAGGGGTCGGCGGATATTGGTTGTGTCACAATACAATTTTCCTGATCCCCCATTAGGCAGTTCTTACTCTTTTGGCGACGGCTGATCCCTCTCTGTTCCAACTTAAAACCATGTGACCCCCCCCTTCCCAAAGATTCTTCGGCCCCCCAAGCAATAAATAATGCTGAGCCGAGCCCTAATGACGGTAATGAAAGACGGAAAAACATGTTTTTTAATTTCATTACCAAGCTCAATATTTATCATCTTCCTTATTTTATTTGCGTACATGATGCTTTCGACAATACGGATCCAAATAGTATGCAGGACGCGTGTCACATACAAACCTAGCTTCGATTCCTAATGAGGACTTGTGAAAGGAGAGAAAAATCTACCCCTTTATATATCACTTGTTTATATGTATATATCTTCTCTGTGGAAGGTAGCACAAGCTTGATCCGGTTATTGAGAATCGAACGTCACCCATCATGTCCCTTTAGTAATTATGTTAAATGATCGCCCACCTGTATCTCATTGGAGCCGTCCAAACTCCGCCCCAGTGTCTTCTCTCGTTAGCCTCCAGACGATACTTAAACCTTTTTGCACCACTTAAAGCCTTAATCTGATCAGCATACTCAAGTATGGAGTAGTCCCTTGATAACAACGGCCTCGTGGGGTTCTTGAGTTTGACTTCGTTCTTTTTCCAACCATTCGAAGCACTGGTGACGAGTAAAGTGTAAGCTCCTTGCTCTGACGTCATATCACAATAAACGGGCAAGTACTCATGGGAGTTCCTTAGAATAAAGTAAAGTCCGTCCTTCTCCGCTGCCTTGTTTCCACGGTTTTCACTTTTAATTTCATTGCAGGATCTCCTGCGAACACAGTTGATCGTATTCAGGGAAATATTTCGAAACAAAGGTGAAAGGAAGAAGTAATTTTTGGTGGAAAAATGGAAGTAAGTAATATTTTCAAGAATCGCAAAGTGTTTCATCGTATAATTCTGTTCACAAAGTCTAAAAAGGCAAAAATTAACTTCAACTAAACCTCCAAATTGTTTTCTCCATTGCAGTAATTTTCGGGTAGTGGCAGTAAAGTAACTAAAAACTAACGAAGATAGTTGTGTTCAAAGAAAAAGAGTAAAAAACCCGTCCAAAGGAAAAGAACGGTAAGAGGCCTCACCCACCCCCACTGCTTTGCTTACCAGGTTCCCTCGCGCACCCAGAGTCTTTTCGTGCCTGTTCTCGCTCGACTTACACCATGTGTTGCATCCAACACAATGGCACCATTGAGATTTGTCTGATCGTCAGCACTCGTCAGTAATGTATAACCGGAAGTTGTTAGACGTGGCAGACGCTTGGTGGACTGTACTTGACTGGCATCCCAGTGTCCCTGCTCGTGAACTAATTTCACGCATGCTCCGTCTGATCGACCAGAGGTAAATGAGCAACCAGCGTTTCCTGTCCAGACTCCTTCCCAAGTCTTGGCGCCATCTTCCTCCATCAAATACTATGAAGATAAAACTTTCAAAATTCAACAGCCTTGTTTGATAACAACAAGATTGAAACAATTGGTTAACATGTTGATAAGTCCTCACCTGAAAGTGTTTCATTTTCGTAATGTTGTCTGCCATCCCTAATAGGGAGAAGTCAGAGGACAGCGAAGGATTGTGGATATTTCTTGACTTCACGTTATCTCGTGCCCATCCATTGTCACTTGCGCTCGTCAATACTAGAGTCCAGGCCCCACCATGGTCACTGAATTTACAAAAGGTCTGAACTTGACGATGACCAGGCTTAATAGTATACAAACCATCTAAAAAAAAGGAAAAAACCACAAGGACGAGGTAATCATCCGTGCATTAGGTAGAATTGCCATTCTGCGTGTCTGTTTTGAGAACGTTTTGTTTCGTTTTCTCACATTAACGACTTTGATGACCATTATTTTTCATAAATTTTCGATCAAAACCATGCTACACCATTCGCACAAAAGGTTTTGACGCATGCGCTCCGATATCGCAGGAGCTATGTTACTAAGATAGGAACTACAGCATATCAGGTCATTTATAGCGAAATGAAAAAGTCGCTTTTGGATAAAATAAAAACCTTGACATAATCATCTGTTTGTTAATAAAGACAGTAAGAGGGCAAGAATAAGCTCAAGAGTGACGACGATAAAGGAAAAAACAAATTTGCGCACTTAGTATATATCTTTTTACCTGTCAATAAAAGTAGATTTCTAAAGATCAGTTCCTCCGTTCTTTTCCGTAAATTACCTTTGACTTCATAGTTTACTTAATAATTTCCCTCCAATCGCCAATTTGGTAACCCTGGTCAAAAGTTCAAATATTCAAGAAGCTTTCCACGAAACTGGTCCTGATCAAATGTTCAGTTAACAGATAGCGACATTTTAAGGACGTTAGGAACATGTGAATCTTGATTGGCCTCGCTTGTGATTGACAAGAATAAGCTCAAGAGTGACGACGACAAAGCAAAAAACCAATTTGCGTACTTAATGTCTTTACCTGTCAACGGTTTACTATATGAACCTCTCAGCTGGATCTCAGCGCATGACCTCGGAGGACTAAAGCTCTGTTCTCTGACCCAGTACCAAATGTTCACTGGGTGCTGTTCAAGATCTTTGCCGTCCAACCAAGGCGCCGGAAAGAAAATTTTAGAATTGGCTGCGGCAGATAAAAAAAGGAAAATAAGTTTGCTTGATTTAAGGTATGCGGGTAGTCTTTGTGCTACCTCAGGGCGTGGTCACCCCTGCCTTGCATAGACCTTACTCTTAATTATAATGGTAAGAACAGAAACTCGCAAGGAACAGTGTCTTGGTAGTATGAAAAGCGAGACTCGTTCTTAGTGGCTGGACAAAAAACCTGAACGAAACTTTTTGTGTTAAAGAAATTTGTATACAGTAGAAATCAATGTCTTTTTCGTAAGTTTGCAATGATGGTGGAGTTCAACCGAGGTTTTTAGCACAGCATGTTTTGTTGAATCCCATCCCAACCTGACATCTGTTCAAAGGCCTTTCTTTAGTGTCAATAGGTCGGTTTTTAATCTATTGAAAAAAGTACATTTCTCAATAAAACTTATTTCAAATTAGTTCATCTATTACAGTCAAATCTTCTCTTAAAACTACTCAGCGACCATCTCTCCCCAATGGCCAAGTCGAATCACACAACCCCACACTTTTTAAAGCTGAAGACTCTTTTCTACAGCGACCTGTCAAGTCAATTCAATTTAGCCAGGTTTGGGGTTAACCCTTTGATCCCAAGAGTGATCAGCATCTATTTTCTCCTCATAATATATCCCCGAATCGTACATTAAGGTCACGAGAATGAAGCAAATGATCAACAACTAACAAAGCTCTTGATTATTTAACAAATTCTCCTTGTCAGCACCTTAGGAAATGTAAAGAGAAGAGTATGGAGAATATACCTATTGATGTTAGGGTGTAAAGGGTGAAAGTAAAAGCAATACGAAAATTTTGTATGCGCATACTCCTCACCGATCAGAGTTCCCCATTGACGGTCTCCAGTGGCATTCCAAGAAGTCGTTAACTTAGGACCAGAAATCCAAGGCATTCTTTTCTCCACTCCATAATCGTCGTATTTCCAATTGTCGAATTTCTTCACCAACTCGACAAACGTCTGCTTGTTGTCCGTAGCAACAAAAGTGTACTCACGTGGAGCGCGCCAGATTCCACCCCAGCGACCTTAAAAAGAAATGAACATCGGAGGCTTAGCTACATAGAGCCTGCTTTTAAGTGAAGGTGCGTCTTTCAATTTTCATCAGCACCACTTCCGTAACGCTCTATTGGACATGCTTTTTAAAACAAATAACAGGTGGAATAAATCTTGCATCTGTTTTTTTCAGGCCAAGTACTCTGAAGATGAACTTCAGTGATTTTTTTGCCTGGATAGCTTTTAACTGCTCCGTAGTTTCCCGTTATTGTTCCAGTGCCGCCTTTATAATACCGTACTCTTTTCTATTTAATTTTCGTTGTGACTAATATCCGTCAACAGAGACAGATATGTTAAGTGTTGTTTTGAAGTAACCCAGAACTGTTTAGTTTCGCTTAACTGTGCTGTGTGATTGGCGTGCAAACGTCGCGTCATGCTCTCACCTATGAGTTTTGATGCTTCACACAATCTAAAAACGCTCCGTACAACAAGCTCGATCTCACAAGTTTCTTCTAGTGTATAGCTTACCCCTTTCGTGGCCTTCAATTCGATACTCAAACCATTCCCCGGCAACATTTAAACTGTTTTTGATGTCGTCTGCTTTGTACAAAATGGAAAAATCTCCATTTAATGTCGGCCTATTCGGATTTCTCTGTTTGATGTTATCAGCTGTCCACGTGTTTGTGTGGCTTGTGACCAAAAGTGTCCAGCCGCCACCGTCATGTGTCATATCGCAGTATGTCTTCACCGGTCCCTTTCCGTCAGGATTGATTGTGTACACTCCGTCTGGGAACTGGACGCCAGTTTGCTTTCCCAGAGACAAAAGATGATGACAAGAATGTGCCACTGTAGAAATGAAAAGAATACTCACAGGGTTATCGAACGTGTCCCCTATTTAGACTGTGTCTTTAAATATGGTAACAGATATAACTTTTTGTCATTCGGCACAAAAATTAGTGTCCTTTGAATGAAGTTGTCCCCTAATGATAGATTCCTAAAGATCAGTTCCTCCGTTCTTTTCCCCAAACTACTTTTGACTATATAGTTTACTAAATAATTTCCCTCCAATCGCCATTTTGGTAACCCTCGACAAAAGTTCAAATGTTCAAGAAGCTTTCCATATAACTGGTCCTGATCAACTGTTCAGTTAGCAGATAGCGACATTTTACGAGATTATTATCAAAGGAACTTTTCGCCGGACATTGCTGATTATGGCTGTTGAAGTACGCAAGGGAACATGTGAATCTTGATTGGCCTCGCCCTCCCCATGTGACTGAATGATGAAGATAGGGTGCAAAATTGCGAGGGGTCTTGGTCTGACGCTCAAGTCCTGGTGGAGGACTCAGATTGTGAGTGATCAAAAGAATCAATCTTGTTTCGTGGTACACTACCTGGACAATTGTCGGTGTTACAGGAAGATTTTTCTGTCCTTTTTCTACCACAGTCTCTTCCTCCATGTGCTGGGGCTGGACTGTCACAGAAGCGATACCTTGTCTTCATTCCTCCTCCACAAACTTTTGAACATGGGCTCCATTTAGACCATGCGCCCCAGCGGCCATGGCGCACTTGTTTCGCTAAAGTACATTTAAAATACCTTCATTTTAGTTTGGCTGCTTTCAAAAAGGTTATTTTAAGTGTCAGTAGATACTATGATGTGAATGTTACGAACGGTTCAAAGTTAAATGTATTTTCAACCCAAAATTTCACCTGTTGTGCAGGCTGTATCCGGATCTAAATTTCCCAGACAGTGACATTTTCCCTTATTCGTGCATGTCTGACGAAAAAAATATGCTATTAACACATTTAGAGAAGCAATCGATGTTATATTTTTCATATCAATCAATGGAAACATCGGTGAACGTTTTGTTTTACAGTAAATGTTTCTTATCTGACGCAAGGCTCTTGGGTACAATTTGGTCATTATTGAAACTTGAAATTGTTGCAGTTCTGCGAGAGTATACAACCATTTGTACGAGATAACCTGAGCTACTGTCCTTGAACGATAGATATAGGAATTATCTCACGATATATCAGAACGACTTTCAATCCATTCGGTTGAGCTCCATGGACTAAGATCAGAATAGAACAATTATTTTACCTAATGCTATCCCTTTATCCTCTATGTTTTCCCAAGTTCGTGTTGCATGTCTTTCAACCAATCACAATTGAAGTATGGAATATCGTTTCCTTACCCCTTTGCCCGCGCATTCCTTGCCATCACCTGCTCTTGGACACGTCGTTGAAATCAGTCGACCAACATGGGTGCATTGATTTTTAACACAAATCTGCGGTAGATGCAAAGTAATATTTATTAAAATGGAGTCAATTTCGTGTTTAACTAATAATGCCTAAAATTGTAAAAAAATCTTAACTCCAATACAGCACTCATTAATGCCTCCTAGCCTATCTTTGTATTCTTGAGGTCACTCGATGGGTCAGTCAAACACATGTATTACCTTGTTGTTACCACACACTGTTCCATCTTTGACCATTCCATCAAACTCCTTCCCATTTCCTCCCTTACGAATAGCCGCCCTGCAATTAAACAAATTGAGCCGAAAAGTAAAATGTATGGTTTGGAATATTTTCTTGGGAAAAGAAACTCTGTTGATAGCATCCATGCAATAATTTTTCTATGGTTGTTTCACCTGCATTTCTCTCCTGTGGGCAGAACTTTTAATTCATAGTAACTCCCATAATCCACCACTGGCCGATCTCTTGGCGAAGAGCACTGCAGCTGACCACATACAGCATGCCTGTAGATTCGCAAAAGGAAGGTTGGTTTCGATGATGTTGATAAATCTCACCACTACTACCTTTTCCTCGTCTTTTTGAAAGGCACCACAGACCGTTGCCTTATGTTGTCTCTATAGTATGGTGCTTTCACTCAGTTTAGAGCCTAAACTGAAGGAATAAGCAAGCACTGTTATCTACTCACTCTCTTGCACAAGGAAGATTTGTCTGCCCACTGCAAGTTCCAAAGCCTTGCGCCTCAATATTTAGTTTTTCATAACAAGCGCGGGGAGCACTTGAAGCACCTGTTAAAACAAATGCATGCAGTAGGAAATAAATTATGGGCATCAATCAAAATATGAAACATTTATTCACAAAGTAATATGCAATATTATTTCTTTCAATAAATGGCTCGCTCGTACCTGCTCCCCAAAGAGCTCGGCATTGAAAATCCGCTGATGCTGCACATTTTCCATGATAACAAAATGACTGCGAAAGAATGTGATAAAACGTTTCCTCTACTTTTCATTTTCACCACAAACTAAAATGCAGGGTCTTTATGACTGAGAGGAATTAACTTAATTCATCGATTAAACCCCTTAAACAAACAGCGGGGAAAAACTGCCAATTTGAAAATAACTGACGAAGCCATTAATTAGAAGTTCCTGAGTCTACGTGTGATCGAGCTGACAAGTAACTTTGCTCAATTAAATAGCACTACTGTGACATACCGATGCTTCTATTTGTTTCTTCTATCCATAAAATTTGACTAAGGAAAATTGATAATCCTTAGAGTGGACCACATGATAGTTTGATGCGGCTCGAAAAATATCTGGATCACTCAGGGGACCTTCTCGATTGAGTTTTGAATGTTAAGATGAAACCTATCACAGAGCAGATTGTGTGTATTACATACTATTTTTAGTTTTGTTTGTTTTATTTTGTCGGCTCTGTGGAAACTCTATTTTACATCCCTATCTCACGCGAATTAATATGCAAAAAAAAAAACAATATGAGCACGAAGGTACCTTTCCCCTCCCTGCACATAAGCTTCCGTCTTTGACATGGTCATCTAGAGGACACTAAGAACATGACAAGTCAATTAATTTTATTGAAAACAAAATTGAGGTGTCGCGAACCTCTTTTCATGATGTCTTTCTAAAACTTACCCAAGTCAACCGAAAGACCCATTCTGACCCTAACACTGTTGATACTTGAATCTGAACTTCTAATTTCTTTCATTTTCAAGGTATTGGCAGGTTTCGCTCCATTGTAATTTTGCCCGCTACAAATTCGCCCCATTCTCAACGCGTTCACCCCTTCAATTACGACAAGTGCGCACCCAAACATGGTGTTCCCTCGCTATTTCTGTGGAGCAAATGCCTCTTCTCTCCCCATGTTGCACTACAGCTACCTAAAGTATTAATGCACCATTAGACCTAGTAGGTTGATTTTTATTCGCAATTTCAGACGCAGGGTGAGCGATCTTTTGGTGTACACACCTGAGCAGACTTTCCGGAACAAACTTCTGCCACATCACAGACTCCTATGCTTTTACGGCACAGCGTTCCAAGTGGGGAAAACTTGGTGAGAGGATAAAAAATGGGGCCATTTAGAACATGTAAGACATGTAACATGTAATCCTTTCTCGAACAATTTGCATTTTCTTCAGCCTCGAGTTTTTTAATTTTAGAGAACCTACGAATGTTTTTGGTTAACTTAAATACAACACACTAATTTAAGTACTTTTGATGTTGACGCTCCGATTTGATATCAATTGATCATTTACATATAAGTTCTTCGTTTCAGGCATTATCTTGTGCTACTTCTTCCTGTAACAGTGGGCTAATAGCAATGAAAGTCAATGACCCCAGTTTATCTCTTACTTGACACTTCCGGCAACATTTGTTCTGCGCGTCACTACATTGGGAGGATTTCTTCAAGCGGCAGTCATTTGGCTGACAGCAGGGATCTCGTACCCTACATTCCTGTAGAATAAGGGGAGAGTGAAAAAGTCAGATGTTATTACGGCGCTATTTTTACCCCGCATTCCAATCGACCCGATAGAATCACGATAAAGGTATCTGATATGTTCCTCTTCTGATTTATTTTCTCAAACTAGCGTAGATCTCGACAAAGGGCCAAGGCAACGCTTCATTTGATCTTTCAACCTTTCTCTCCCGAGATCTCATTTATAATTCTCTTTAATGTCTACTATGCAATTCTTATGACGTTAGTTTGGAGAATTTGGTATTGGATCTACTAGTAATCTCCTAATTGATATTTTCTTATTCCCGTCACTTCTCTGCTTGATTTTGTATTGGTATTGCAAGGAGAAATTATATCTTGGTCACTCATGGTAGTTAAATGGTTAAGCAATTTTTATTACTTTCGAGAGTACATTCCTCAGTTTTCATCCTAAATCAAGTTCTTTGGGGGCTACACGTATTTTTTCACTGTTTACCTCTGGTGTACCACAATCACATTGCTCTCCAGGCTCTGGAATACCATTTCCGCATCTAGAGTTCTCTGCCTGTAATGCAAAGACATTATTGGCTATTAGATAGTTACGTCATCAGTGTTCAGTTGTTCAATACGTTGCACCACATGAGAACCTTTTTTGGAAGATTGTAAAGACAGCTGTCATCAATCTTTGTCATGTTAAGCAAGTTACAGTCGGAGAAACCAGGAACTCGGGTCCTGTATGATAAAAAAAAGAAAGAAGACTAATTAATTGTTTCAGAGGAAAAAGAATGAAATCAAACAGATTAGAAGAAACTGAATATGAGTCATCGAATGAACAATAGTGGAGACTTACTTGAAGGAACCCATAACGCATCCACGAGGTGAAAGGCACTTACAAGACCAAACTTAAATAACGAAAAAAGAAATACTGGTAAATCTATCGTCTGAGGAAACTGCAAAACCCATGTTCAGACACTGTTTTTTGACACTGGCACAACTTAGAGACCTGACATTATTCATCGCCTGAGGGGGAGGGGGATTCGGAGAATTTTGGAGTTGTCACAATAAATTTACCTGATACCCCCTAAGGCTCTCTAGGATTCTAATGATCCCCCCTCATTTCAGTCAATTCTCTATAGTCCCCCCCCCCTTTATACTCTGTTAGCGACGACTAACCCCTTCTCTGTTCTCCCCGAACCTTTTTCCCTCATGTGATAAAATATGACTGAGTATCTGCGCTGTCTCGATTTGTAAATGTAGCATTGTTGAAGAAGCAACTACTGTACACAGAAATATTCACATACTGTTATCGTGGTCAAAGTTAAAGTTGTGTCCAAGTTCATGAGATAATGCTAACCAAGGACCGAGGGAACCCCAGTAGTTCCACTGCAAAAAAGGATAACGACATAACAACCTGTAAGGATTGAGCAAAGTAACGAAGATGCTTCCTTCCAGAAGAGACAGTTTTCTTGTTCCGAAGAACGCGCGAACAGTACGGTGAAAACAATGGATAGTCCTCGCTTGCGCATTCGCCAGCTAAACGTCGTTCAGTAAAAGTCTCTTGAGGTTTTTGTAAACGCCCAAAGTATTTTCATAGCGAGAAAAATTTGTATATAGTTACAGGTGCAGTGTTCTAAGCCACTTAGTGATTGAAAGAAAAAGGTGTGCAGCTTTGCATTTGGTCAAGCTGAGAAAAAGGACTTACGCCTGTGTTCGCTTACAAGGAAGAAGTCCTGAGAGAATGATTATGTAAGCGATTATGCCTTACGACTACAGGCTTACCGCATCAACGCCCAGCGATCGTCTGGTACAAATCTCTCCTCTGTACGCCATTCCACCATAATCGTCCCACATTACGCCCCTGTTTAGAATAGTGGAACAAGATATTTAAATATTCCGTAACGTGATTACGGGTCCCTGATTTTAAACACTTTTACAACAAAGTTGTTGTGTGATTTACATGTATCTTTGGTGATGAGGATATGCGGTCATTCCGCAAAAGGATTAATTAATATCGATCACAGGCATGAAAATGCTTTGTTCTCTGGTACAGTTTTCTTCTGGTAATGTCTACTCTCTAACTGGGCCCTTAGAATAAGAACAGTTGTAAAGTCAGACTTCAGTAGTAGAGTAAAAAATGTTATCATTCGTCTTGTGCAAGACTTGTAAACTCGACTCTTCTCTTAACAACCATTCACAATTTAAGTTCTCTCTGTTTATCTCTGTCAGTCTATCAGTCTGCCTTTTTGTCTATCCGTTTACTCTCACCTGTGATCAAGTACCTCAAAAAAGCCTTCTAATACTTTATAAACTAATCTGTCAGATTGACGAGCTAAATCTTAGCACGTTTCATTCGGCCTCGTGGGTTCAGTACCTCAACAGGTGTATACTGTCGTAGGTGACTCCGGCTTCTCTGCTGGAGTGATGACTCCCGAAGTTTCTTAAATCATCGCCGGCTCTCTTAACAAAAGGGACGTGATCCTCGTCTGTCCAGATTTCGAGCGCTGATAAAACAACTCGAATGTTGATCTTTCGATAAATCTGTAACAATGATGTGAAGAAGCAATAAAGCTGTTCTTAAAAGTTGTGCAAACTTCATAGATAATGAATTTTTTCAACACAAAAATTTTATAGATCATTCTGCCCGTTGAACGTCTGACTTCCGTCAATGGAGCCTCGAACTTCTTGAAAAGAGTCAATGACATTATAACCAACTCCTTTGATCAATTTACCGTGTCGACAGCATTTACTAGTGTAAAAACTCTTCGTTTCACGTCGTTAATGTCTTGCTTGTATTTCTTGTACTGCAACAACAACAAAAAAAGAAATATGACATCTTACTCTGATCGCATAAACATTGATAACTTTTTTCCTATGACAGATCATGTGGGTGATAGGAAATGAAAGTTCCGGCAATTTTTAAACTAAATTTTACTTTGATAAAAATTGTGGTATTTAAACCACAAAAAGCTTACCACAGCATTGTCAACAATGATCATTAACTCCGTATAGCGAGTTTTCGTTGTTGTCAAGTACTTCTTATACACTGACTCTTCAGCTTCCCGTTTAATCTGAAAATAATCATAAGTCTTCTGTAGAAGGTAACATATATTGTCCCTTATTTAGGTTAGAAAATCAGTCCGCTAATTCTAATATAGTTTTCTTTATATAGTCACTGAAAGGTCGTCAGATAACAATTTAAGACGTTTCATTTAAGGCAGCGGAGCACGCATTGTTCCTAATGTGATTCATTGCAATTCACTATTCATTGCCATTTATTTTATATAACATTAACTTGTGAATAGTTTGGCCCTGTTCTGTCCTGTTCTGTTGGCCCTGTTCCCCTTTTAAATCTCTCTCTCAAATGATCAATCGAATATCAAAGGATTACAAAATAAATACAAAAGGTAATATGCGCATATCCTGCCTTCTTATCCCAATCCACTGCACTCAAAGCTGATCAGCCATAGCATGTATAGCGTTGTTTTAAAGTTAGAAAGTGGAATAATGAAAAAGACCAGATTTTCAAAACTACCGCACGTAATATGATAAACTCATAGTATTGTTCTATTGATTTACCCTAAATTTTGTTAATGAATTGCTCAGTCCATCTGCTGTGGTATTCCCATTCAAACTGGTTCCTTCAAAAATCAACGTGGATGTTTCACTATATTATTCTATAATAATACGAAACACAACTCCACTTAAATGAATCCGATAGCTTCATCCTAGCGGTATTCAGAAAGGATAGTCTCATAACCAGACCTTCCACGGACAAGCGGTGTCAAGGTCCCTACATTTTAGTTACAGTTAAACGGTAGGATCTGGGTACGAGATTACAGACAGGATAGCAAACCCTTAGACGCGTACAAGGATAGCAAACCCTGAGGACGTCACAAAAAAGAAGTAATGCGGGGCCGTGATTATTTTAGTGCTAAGTTGGTTTTTACCCCCTTTCTGGTTTGACACAAATAAATAGTAACAATCCATAAAATTGAAAAAACCTGTATGCTCCTAAATTCTAATAAGATATTGCTGTAGGACCCTGTTGTTTAAAAGCCAGAAATCCTGACCATGCCCATGAAATGTCTTGAATAATATGATTATCCCAATTGTGTGCATTCACTAAGCCTTCATTGAAGAGGGGGCACAAATTCGGGTGCTATAAGCTTGGAGCTTTGTAAAGGTGCCAACGTACCACATAGAAATATTTTCTTCTTTCCGTCTTTCGTCTTGAATATCTTGTGCGCTCCTTCTCCCTGTAATATTGCGATGGAAGGATGAAAAGATTATTTTTAATGACAAAATCCTAGGCTAACTGTTTCCAGGTTATAAAATTCTTCGCAAACCTTTTCTGGGTATGGTTCTATGTACATTCTACTCTCCTCGTCTTCAATCAAGCCACTGAAAAAGGGAAAACGTGGTTAATATTGCATCCCTTGAGGAACGTGAACAATTACAAAAGAACTAACGAACAAATCGTCAATGAAATTTTTGAAAGTTGTACTGTTATGTGCGTTTTGGAAGTATATGAAATGTTCGTGCACATAGACAAATTACGCCACATGATAAAGAGTCACCTTAATCCATGACAAGTATCAAGGATGACCGTTGACTGCGCCTCATGACCTTTCAGGTGACCTTGATATTGGCAGTTAGGCGGTGCCTCCTGACATTAAAGCAAGAAACGTGGATAGTAATATCAGACTGCAGCTTAACTTGTTTAACCCAAAAGACCCACACAAGTAGTAAGATATTGCCTTTCCTCCCTTCTGATTGGCCCTCGTTAGCAAAATGCGATGAATAAGAGCTGGTAAGGGTAATTTCTGTTTGGTGTGTTACCTTTCTATGAACCAACTGGCCGTTTTCTTTAAAATAACGAAGAGTAAACTGTGGTGAAGAAACTATCCTGGTGGAGAACAAAAACATAATTTATCATAAAAGTGGACCTATTCGGAAAAACATCATTGCACAATCACTTATCATACTAATGGTGTAAATCGTTATTCTTTAACCCTAAAGAGTGATTGGCTTCTAGTCTCTCATCACAGTACCATGCACCCTTGAATCAAATGTAAAAGTCATGGGGATAATGTAAATAATCACCAATTTAAGAAGCTCCTGATTGTCAAACAAATTCTCCTTGTTATTGCCACAGGAAATGTAAAGGGATAAGAATGGAGAATATAAATACTAACGTCATGGCGTAAAGGGTTGAAAGCTGTAATAAAAGCTGTAATATCAGCAATAAGGGAGTGTTATGGTCAATCGTGAAAGACCGACCACGCTCAGTTCACGTGGGGCTTACTTAGCCAACCAGCGCCACGTGAAGTTACAGTCTCCTCGGCACTTACTTGTTAAGATGAACTTCCACCACAACATCTTTACCGAAAGCTCTCAGCTTAAATGTCGCCTCCTCGTCATGGCCATTCTGTCACGAATTCAAAGTAGTATGACACACATCAATTTTTTTATAATCATTGTTGTCAAAGAGGAACAGTTGGCGTCCCAGCCAGTTAGTATCTCTTAGTATCTCTTCACTGAAATATGAAAAAATTTCAGTCATGGGAAACTGCACTCAAAAGTACTTCGTGGCAGCGGAAGGAGTATTAGATATGGCAATTGGAGAGCACATATCTGATTGGAAAAGTCTCTTATAATGACTGAAAGAATTAAACACTGAACAGGGTAAGCAAGGCATATGACTCTAATTGGCAGATTGAACCGGCTATATTTTTGGAGTAGCATCTGGCTGGGGGCTTGTGTACAGCAGGGTTGTAAACTCTCCTTTTTGCGCACGCGCGCGCACCTGGGAAGTCGCGCGACGCTTTTCTCATTACGTGACATCCCAAATAACGCCTGTGATGGAGACTAACGCTTACTGTGATACGAAAAAAAAATCAGGCGTCAAAACATAACTTTAGAGGCAGAGATAACAGAGACTTGTAAAATAAGACTTTATTGCAAATTGAGCACGTTTATAGTTCTCACTGATACTAAAGGATCAAATACCTTTGATCCTGTGGAAAGATCTCTCTTTGTGCGTCCCTTATTGAATCTTTCAGGAAATACAATATCGAAATTGTCATCGATATTGTCTCTCATTGACTCGCTGTGCCATGCTGAGAGGAAAAAAATCCATTATGTTGAGAATTTTGGTAATTTCTGATGGCTTCATCAGAAAATTGAAACTAAAAAAATACCTTCGTGCGCCGAGTATGAGTACCCTGTGCTTCCGGTCCAAAACAAAACCAAAATAGGGAGCCATATGTTCATTCCTAACCGATACAAAAAAAAAGGAATGACTATACATAGATAAATGCAATACTCAAAAGATAAAAATAGGGAAATTCATAGGTAAGTAAGTATAAATGTTCTCTGGCTGGAGATGTGAATTGTTTAATGCATCAACAAAATTCTTCGCACTCAGATAAAGAGATGTGCGATGTCAGTTATAAACCCATTTTATCAAGACGACCCTTTGCTTAAGTTTGGAATTGATAAGGTTTCTTGCCATCGATGTAAGGTTGTACTGGGTTGTCATCTAAGGGGAAATTAAACAACGAGCTGACTTTTAGGCTTTGCGTGCAATGACCAGTCATTATACAGAGTATTCACAACAAATTGTTAACAGCCTTTTCATGTCATTTCATGCATCTAGTAATTGACAGAATTGGGTCTGCGTAGCACGAAAGTAAATATTAACCTTATAGGGTTTGTAAATATCTTTTCGCCACAAGGAAATGCGATCTAGAAGCGAAACACTTCGGAAAGTACGTGCCTTAGAACTACTTGAGTCCTAGAACTTTGTAACAAACCTGACCGAGGCGAAATACGAAGAACGCACAACTATTTTTCATGATTACAAAAACAAGGCTCTGTTTCCAGAATTCAACATACCTTTTAGCTCCATAATTTAGTCACCAAAGTAAACTCGTCAAAAAATTGAAGAGACCTTAAGCAGCCAAATGTTGGCTGGAACGCCAAGCACTGATAAGGTCTTGGTTGTGTTAGGCCAAAAAAACCCTTTAATTGACAAACCGATACCCGGCAGCAGTAGGAGGTGTATACGTACCATTGCGTGGCGTATTACTCACCAAAGCAGAACTGTCAGCTGGAGGATATCAGTTTCCCCTGTTCACGCCTTCTGTACATATCACAAGTAACTTATAGGGATCTCATCGGTCATTCTTCAGTTGTTCGTTTTTCTTTCTCTTTCGGTAGCTTGGTGTATTTTCACGTGTCGTGCAGGCTTGTGATACTGCAATGTTAGGTTTCCTCTCTTTTTCTCGTATAGAAAGACGAGGCTACATGTGGGATCAACGAAAAAACCCTGGGCTCTAGTCTATTTCCCTTTAGGGTAGAACCTTGTTATTTTTCTTATTTTTTTATTTTATTTTTTTTGTGTGTGTGTGTCTGAACACGTAAAGAAAACGATATAAAGCTTCTGCCCGCCAAGAAAAATAAACATTGCCTTCTCGGCGCAAATTCATGCTGAGACTTGCTGTGACAGACAATTAAATATTTCTCCAGGTGCCTTGTAAAGAAATTTAATTACAATGCTTGCTCGCTCCACTAACATCTTGGCTGCTTTTAATTTGAACTTATGTTGAATCTTACTAATCAGTATGCTTAAGAATCGCCTGACCATAGCACTATGCCTCTCTCGTGATCATTATTTTGATGAGCATGATAGCGCAGTACAAAATGATTTCTCATATATCCACGACAAATTCATGCTCAGGTTTATATGTAAAATGGCTCAAGATCGTGTCACGTTACATAGTTTACACATTTGGTATTTAAATAATGTTCCTTGATATGGTTTAGTTAGACTTAAAATTTATAATGAATAATCTAGATAGGTAGCTTTAGACAAATTCAGAAGAAACTTAATTTGAACCAAAGATACATCTGAATGAGTTTATTGGTACATTCTTGCATCGTGGTGGCCAGCTGTTAATTTGCGCCATCCAGGAGGTCCTTAAAGGGACAGTTTGATTTAGCTTTTCAGACGATGTCATGGCTGCAACGCCTGAGGCAATTGTAGAAGTTATTGAGAGGGTTTACTTATTGATTCACTCTTTCCAAATTAGTATATTCAACTGTGATCTATTTGAAAAGGACTGGATTGTTAGACTGTTACAACACTTGTGCCATCGAGTTTTTAAAGCGACGGTAAAACAGAGAGGACCAGTATTGGCCATGGGTGGGGACGAGGGGCTGTTTGGGGTGGGGGGGGTAGGGTGTATTTTAAGAAGCATCACGACATTTGGACATTTGAACACGAGTGTTCAAACTTCTCATATGTTAGACGATCCTTGTCCATGATTTTAGTTACTTTCCCTGATCATCAAACTATTCGTACATAATACGTTTCTTTTGCTACATTTTATTATTGTCATGATTAATTTTCACAACGTCGAGATTTTCATATTTAAGCATGCTTCACCCAAGGTTAATTTAAGATTTTTGATTTGAAGGCTTATTAAAGCAACATGAAGATTCCTGACGAGGTACAGTTAGACAAATAACAGCAAACTTATTCATTAAAATAACGTTTAGCCACAATACTGATCAATGCGTCCCCCGTAGGATCAGCTAATTTGGCAGCAATTTCACCGGGGCCGTATTTTACATTGGTTTGTAGTCGCAGGCTTTTTTTCTGCCCTAATATGATTTCCTGCACAACTTGCGCAATTTCTTCACTGCTCTGCATAGTTTCACCGAGTATTTTGCCAAAATATTCATTAACCGCTTCCATCAAACTTTTCGTCTTGGCGTCCAAGGTTGTCAAGTCCACGCTCTCTTGACTCCAGTCGCTCGCTTTCGACCTTACAGGAGTTTCAACGGGGCCTGGTTGCAACAGACAGCATCTATAAACAATCGAAATGATAGGAATTTAAGATATGAAATCATGAAATCAAAACATGGGTTGGTGTTAAGATTAAACTTATAGGTTAAATTAAAGAAAATTGTAATCTAGATCTTTGCTCTCCAGATTCAAACCTGGAGATCAGCATAAATTTCATAATAAAAACTGAATATAAATATGTACTCATTGACTAGGTAGGAAAGCCAGATGGAAGATATTTTGCTCGAGGTCATGACGCACGGAACCCTGCAATTTCCATGGAAGGGACACAAAGAGTGGACTTGGTAAACAGCCGCTCTTCTCAGTGAGGAGAAGCCGGCGTTGTTTCCAAAGACTGTCTTGAAAGAGAGGCGAGAGAAGCTAACCCCGCTTGTGAGGGCAGAAAGCGTCTTACCTTATGTTAAACTGACGGAGTAGTGGAGCCATACTCTCTGTCAGACCTTCTACAGCAAACTTTGACGAGCTGTAAATTTCCACGAAAGGAACTCCAACAACACCGTGATGGCTGCTGTTATTAATGATTAGCCCACTCTCCCTCGCTTTCATGCTCGGCAGCACGGCCTGGATTAATCTCAGTGCCCCGAAGACGTTGACTTCAAATAGCTCCTTGGTGACTTTGATGGGGACACATTCCAGCGCTGACATAACAAGAGTACCAGCGTTGTTAACTGTAAATTTAAAAAGAAAAAAATTAGCAAATGGATTGAAGTGGGGTTCTCAATTAATTCATAGTTTCACTGGTGGCGGAACTTTGCAATTACATGCTTTTATTTCAATCGCGTCCAAAAATATCTTCCCCAAGCCCATTGGCCTCGCAAATTTGCGAGTATCGGTTAAAAAAAAGTTATTTTCATTTCTGTTCTATAGTGACTGATATTCCAATTCAGGAGAGTATCTTTTTTCCAAAGACGCGCAAAAAAAATTCTCCCCTTATGATTCATATTTCAAGAAAATCAGAGCAGTAGAACTTACACAATACATCAATTCTTCCCTCTGTGTCCAACACTTCCTTCACAGCTTTCTGCACTGACTCGTCGCTGCATACATCCATCTGTTTAATGACCAGTGTGTCTCCAAGATATTCCTTTCCTTCTTCCTCCAATTGTCCTTTCTTCGCCAGATTTCTCATGGTGGCATAAACCTTGAAGCGTTTCTCGGCATCTTTGGCGAGAAACACTGCTGTAGCGAGTCCAATGCCACTAGAACAGCCAGAAATCAACACGATTTGGGGAGAAGCCATGATTTATTTTTAGCAGCACTCTGTTGTCAGTTTTGCTTTTCAACTGCAGATGATAGCTGTACTTGCAGGGCCCACCTTTAAATGAGTTTGTTAAGCTGCGTCATTATGGCATATTTAGTGAGTCATTTCCGTAAAAACAATGAACAGGCACGCGATTACGTAAATCAAGTACTCATGCGACCAGTAAGCAATAAAACCACATGGCTGTAAAGTGAAATTGTTCGTTGCCTCTTTACTTCGCTTACGCAGTTAAAGAACAACAATTTTGTTTATTATCGGCCCTACAATTTAACTGCAATTTGTTGGAGAATGCAAAATATATATAGTTAGATCCGTTAGGCGCACTTATTACATGAACCATAACGGATCAGCGATTATTTTTATTCACTTTGGATCACGGAATACTTGTCACTTGCTCAAAAGGGGCCGGTAAATTACACTGTAATTTAGAGAACATCTATTGAACGTTTAAAATGGGTAATACCTAATTTGTAGTACGCAAGATACCCGCTGTCTCATGTGAAGTTATTTTTACCACAGCTTTTATGTAAATTAAGGAGCTATATCATTCTTCGGGCTACACACATCAGAATGATTCTGCATATTTTGATGCTTTCTTTTTGACTGATCATGATGGCTTCGCTTTTTCAGTCACTCCTTGTGATGGTTGATATCAAAAAGTGTTTTATCAGCTTAACGGTGTCCATCATGACGTCAATTGTGTCTTTGCCACTTATACAATGAAATGGATGAAAATATATTGGAAGAATACGTCAAATCATGTTGTAGAAGCTGAGAAAGTATATTAAAAATTAGCATGACAGGTAAATATAACTGATTCTTAAAGAATCAATAAAATTATTTTTGAAAGTGAAAGACCGACAAGTCTTATCGGCAATAAAGGATTAGGAGTAAACGATTAATGAACCCTTACACTCCTAGAAGTGATTACCATGCAACTTCTCCTTGCAATTCCAATAAGTTATCTTGTTAACAGGTTATGAGAGCAAAACGCGTTTATCAGCCAGAGGGAGTTATTTAGGAATAAGACCAAAATCTCCTCTCTAATTTACAAGGAAAATTATGACACTAAGTAGGGAGAATTATTAATTAACTCTTGGGAGTTAAAAGGTCAACAGCAAATATATTTTTCTGCTGTTATCATATGGTACCCTCTGAAGTCACGTAAATGACAATAATTCATACACCAATGACTAGACATCTTCTCTTTTATTATATCTAGGGTCAAACTTTATGAAAGAGTAACATTGATTTATCTTAAGTCATACATAATATTAACTGCTGATTTTTATACGCCAGCTACTATAAAGAGCTCTATTATTAAGAACCATTTCTGTTTAAAACAGATATTTCATTTTCCCAAATAGTGCTTTGATATAATATCAACTGATGTATTTCCTGTGCGATCAGCTAATTTGGCAGGGATTTCACCAGGTCCAAATTTGTCGTTGGTTTGATGTCGCAAATTTGTCTTTTCTCCTAAGATTATTTCAAGCACAATTTGCGCAACTTCTTCACAACTCTGCATAGCGGCGCTGAAGGTACTTTGTACGTTGGAGAATACAGTTGCCATTATATCCTTTGTCTTTGGATCTAAGGTCGTCAAGTCCGCCCCAGCTTCGCACCATTCGTTTGCTTTGGGTACAATACTAGTCTGCACGGGGCCTGGCTCCAACAGGCAGCATCTAACAGAAAACATAAACAAATTGAAAAAAAAACTACACTAAGCTGAAAGTGACATATGAGCCAAAAAGAAACTGCAATGTATGTAGTGAGAGTTATTTTTTAAATGAGACCATGACGTTTTCCTCTCTTTATAAGACAACCTTAGCTTACCAACAACTACATGAATGGGGATGAAACGCTCTTCAAAAACAATTTTAAGGGGACTTTTGCGGCAGTCTGTATCACTGAAAAATGAAGGATGTACTAATTACACCGTACCAATTTCGGCGAACATTGTTGCACGATTAAAAAGGAAAATATAGTGAAAAAAATTTCTGTCAGCGCGCACCTCACTCCTGCGGTACTAGTGACGCTACAAGATGCGCGACGCGCCAACATTACGCTGTTTTAACTGACTATTTATAACCAGCTTGTTGTCTAAATTACACCATACCTGATGTTGAACTGTCGCAGAATGGGAGCTATGCTTTCCGTCAGACCCTCAATTGCAAACTTGGATGAGCAGTAAATTTCCACAAAAGGAACTCCTACGATGCCAAAATGACTGCTGTTGTTGATGATCAGCCCACTCTGCCTCGCTTTCATGCTTTGTAGCACGGCCTTGATTAACCTTAATGCTCCAAAGTAATTCACTTCAAACAGTTCCTTAGCCATTTGAATAGGAACACATTCAAGCGCAGTCATTAAGCCGATTCCTGCATTGTTAACTGCAAAGATAAGATAGTATAATAAATTTAGTCCATTGTACAAATTAATTTGGAGTCACAAAACTCGCCGCACATTCTCAACCAATAAAAACCAATCACGGCCTTTTTTACTCACACGCGATTTAGGATTAGCAAGAGATTATTAACAGTTTATAATCTCTTGGGACCAGCCATAATTGATCACGGGGGGGGGGGTCTGAGTATTTTTTTGGGGATCAAATGGTTTTCAGAGGGGGAACAGAGGGGGTTGGTCGTGTCAGAACCAAACTCTCCCGACCCCCCACCCCCACCTTGAGGCGATAAATAACGACCAAGAGATGATAAACATTTAATAACGACCAGTCCCCAAAAAGCTGTTTTACTTGTGGACACTTTGGGTGGTATTTTCCTTTATTTTGATTGGTTATTATGATGACCTTGAAATTTCGTTTAAGACGCTAAATCGAAATACAACTTGAAGGCTTTTTTGGCGTTCTTTTAATTAAAAATTAAGGTCATTAGGCTCCTTTAATTAAAAAAAAACTTCACTTTTCAGTGATCAGCCTCCGGCTCTGGCGAATGATTAATGTGCTCGCTATTGCATGAAAAGTCGAGAAGCATTTGTTAAGCTTCTTCCTGTCATTTTGTCAAGGCTTCTTGTTCTGAGGACCGTTTTAAATTATCCTTGTCGTCCTTGTCTGAAGTAAATGAAGCTTCTCTCATAAGCAAGACTAAACAGAACTCGACACCTTGGGTTGCGATCATTATAACATACTATGTTTTCACTGAGATTAACGAAGAAAGGAAAAGAACTCATCCGTGATATTGCATTAAGCTCATTGGCATATATTTGTAACCAGTTAACTCGCAGATTCACGCAATGGAAATTTAAACCTTAACCGCAACCAAACTGTCCAGGATATCAACAAATCAAGAAAAAGACGTAACTTACACAATACATCAATCCTTCCCTCTATGTCCAACACTTCCTTTACAGCTTTCTCTACTGACTCGTCACTACACACATCCATCTGTTTAATGACCAGAGTGTCTCCAAGAGATTCCTTTCCTTCCTCCTCCAATTGTCCTTTCTTCGTCAGATTTCTCATGGTGGCATAAACCTTGAAGCGTTTCTCGGCATCTTTGGCGAGAAACACAGCTGTAGCGAGTCCAATGCCACTAGAGCAGCCAGAAATCAACACTATTTGGACGGCCATGTTGTTTTTGACGATTGTCAGTCTGCTAATGGGGTGTGCTAAGTAGCTTGAATAAATAAAACATGTTTGAAAAATCAGCGCTGCCAAAGACTCGGATGGAGATGAAAATAACTTAATTTATCCGTACTTGACCTTCCATGACTTTGTTTGAACTAGGTAGGGGGCAAAAATCGCAGCTCTCGGAAATTGCCTGAAATCAAGAGAAAATATATTTAAAGATGCACAATCTATCTGAATTCAACCGTAAAAGATTAGGTGTGGCTATCAACTGTGCAAAATATAAGCTTAAAAATTGTAATAAAAACGGGAAACGTAGTATGCTCTGCTTCGTTTCAGGCGAAGGCCACTAAGGGAAAGTAAAATAAGAAAAAGGCAGAGCCCAGATTTTCTCGTGGGGAAAGATAAATAAGAGTTTTTGCTAAAGTTTTAAACCTTGGTAACCCATAAAGTAAATTCAAATATGAACGCCTTTTCGCTTCTGAGGAAACAATAATACTTCTTTGGTTGCCATGGGAAATTTTCGTTTTAGAAAAAATTTTCCCGAAAGAGTAAATAACAAAACTAATAACAATTCAAATAAAAGATTCATTACTAAGGTTCTCTGACGGACTAGAAATCAGGAAGTTAAAGCTAAAGCTGTTTAATTATCGGCTCTATTTCTTCAGTACTCTCAGACCCGGTCTTCAAAAAAAAAAAAAAAAGAGACTTGACGCTTAAGAACTTTTTCGGCTTTTCCGATAGCACTTCCGGAGCGGTGCACAGTTTTTAGTTCGTCGTGGGGAGGGGAAGGAAGAGGGAGGATGTTCCATCGAGTGGCTGAGCCTATATAAAAATTAAGGGGAAAAGACAGCAGATTGACGATGCAACGGCAAAATAATTTATAATAAGAGAAGCCGTTTTTAATTCTTTAGACTGTACTTAATTTTATTGGCTCTGTATTTTTGCTTTATGAAACAAGAGTAGCTACTTCTTTCGTGCAACCCACCTCAACACCTGAGCAATAAAAAAAGAGGCACAGGAGGTTCTGCTGAGTGTGTAACTGATGTTCTTACCATAAATTAATCACAGCAAGATGGAATCTACGTGTTGAACAGAAACAGAGTTCTGTGATATTCTAAGGAGGGGATATTTACACAATGGGGAGGAACTTGAAGGCATAATCAAGGGATTAATGGTGGTTGAAGTTCGATCCATGGGGAAAGTGATTGGGGTTTAACTTTCACACACTCAATAATTGCATTATTTCAAGTTATTTTTCATTTATTTCCTTCTTTAATCCAAGTTGGGAGAAACTGTTCTTTGAAACTTACCATGCACATAAGTCAAGTTATGCAGTTAGTTTTACAATATGGTGGCATCTAACCTCGTAGAGTTTGTGGTCAAAAATATACAATTGCATTTTGAGTTATTTTATCTGGATTGACATGAAATGTGTTAATAAAGTCTTTTAATACCCTTCTGTGCACACTATTGTTAATTTGCATATCAGATCACATGACACTTCAGTGAATAGTCATGTTGAAAGATTGCCTTTCCACTGTGTTGCTTAATCTACCTTTTTTTTTTGTTTGTTTTTGTATGAATACTACTTGTCATCACAAAACTGTTTGGCAACCAGGTTCACAGATTTAAACCCTGTAGCATCAGCAAATCTGGCAGTAATTTCTTCACTAAACATTCCTTCATTAGGTAGATAGCGAAACTGGCCCTTGTCACTTAGAATTATATCTTGAACAACCTCTGCTATTGCCTGTGAAGTTAAAAACTTTCCTTCCAAAGCTGGACCCATTCTCTCCATCATTCTGACCCACAAGTCCTGTGTCTTTTGGTCAGCAGTTTTCAAGTCAATACCCTTGGTATTTTCAACATTGTTGTCTCCAATTGAAGTGCTTACAGGGCCAGGCTCAAGCAAAGTGCATCTATTTCAGAGGGAAAAAGAAAGACAATAAATTCTCCCCTCTAGCTGCAACACATTTCCTTTAAAATTAGCCATGAGAATTGGGTCTTATATCAAGATGATAACTTCTACCTGATAAGTTTGAATATTCTCATTACTTGTTTCCTGAATAATGTACACAATGGTAAGGAGATGTTACTTGCTAATCACTTCTGGGAATCAAAGGGTTAATTAAAGAGTACTGAGAAAATTTTAAAAAAATTGCAGCAGGCACATTCTGGCTAGTAAAGCATGTAAAATGGAGTTCTTTCAACATTTCTAAGAAACTTTTCACCTTCACCCATAGAAGTGACACAAAAAAATTTCTCCTTACAGTAAGGTAGGCTAAGCAGTGATGAGAGTAAATAAAAATATTATTTAAGGAATATTGGTTTAAAATACTAAATGATATTGGCCAACATTTAAAAGAGCCTTGGATTAAAATCAATTTCAACTCAGTCAGAGCCAATGACAAGACCTTAACCTTCTCCACCGTAAAATTAGTATGCATATTCTCCATGCTGTTCTCTATATATTCACTAAGGTACTGACAAGGAGAATTTGTCTAATAATCAACAGATTCCTTAGGCAGCGATCATTTCAATAACATTGTAGACTTAATGTTTGATTCAGAGGTGATATTGTAAGGAGAAATTAGATGCCAGTCACCCTTATTGGTCAGTGGGTTTAAAGAGGCCTTTGGAAGTACTAAAGTGGTTAATAATACACATGAAAAAATCATACGCATCTGATAGGCTGTAAATAAGTGTATTTTTTATGTAAGACTGTTGTAAAGTTGTAAAACAAACGCAAATTACAAATAGCGCACACTATCAAAATTTGCCAGTCTTGACGTTCTGTGATATTTTTTTCATGCAAATTGTTAAATAAGAACATGATTTCTCATGCAGTTTGGTTTAAATAGGCACTTGTAAGTTTTTCAAAGACTACAAATTTCACTCGCCCTACAGACTTGTGAAATTTTGTCGTCTTTGCAGAATTTACTTGCACTTATTAACACCAAATTGCTCTTAAAATCTTTGCCAACAGGGCCCTTGATGCAAAAAAGGAGACAAAAATTAAAAGAAATAATCAAAAGATTCATAACTGATTACCTTATGTTAAAGTGCTTAAGTGTTGGAACCAGAGATTCTGTCAGCCCTTCAACAGCAAACTTCGACGCACAGTATACCTCAAAGAATGGGGCACCAATAACTCCAAAAACACTGCTGTTGTTGATTATGTGTCCACTTTCTCTTGCTTTCATGCTTGGGAGAACTGCATTTATCAACCGCAGGGTCCCAAAAAAGTTGATATCAAATGTTTCTTTAGCCAATTCCATGGGGACACAGTCAAGGATTGTTAGAAGTGACACCCCAGCATTGTTAACTGCAAATATTGCAAAATAACACAGGCACAAATCAAGAAAGAAACTTGGAAATGAAGAGAATCTTTCCATAGCACAAACTTTTGAAGGAAGCATTCTTCACCGGAGCTACTCAAAGGAGTGCATTTTACTTCTGATTGGCTGAAAACGAGTTCATTTTTCATAACATAAGATACATGAAAAAATTACTCAGTTCTGATTGGTTATGATAGATGCAGTTTTCAGGTAATTAAATGCAGAAGAGGGTTAATTCATTGCAAAGAAGTAACAAACCAGACTGAACTATTCTTTGAACTGTTTAGCCAGACTTTGAACTTTATTGCGCCTTAAAGATGTGAAAATATCATTGTATATTATTGTTTTGATCGTACGCGGTTGTTTTAACCGAACGCACAATGTCACTTGCATGGTTTGAATAAATTTTTTTTGCACTTGATGCACGCGCTTTGCTTCAGCATAATTAGGTTAAGCTATCTCGTATTTTTCATGTATAATATTAGTATAGTTAATCACATGATTTCGAATGTAAATGTTTCAATGTAAATTTTTGCAAAGACAACAAATTGCACACGCCCTACGGGCTCGTGCAATTTTGTTAGTCTTTGAAAAAATTTACTCCTGCTTATTTATTCCAAATTGGACTCGAAATGAAGTGATTAACTATGCTAACACGAATGCAAATGTGAAATAGCACAGGCCCGCTGCCAAAATTTGGTCTTTCGTGACTTTTTAGGATTATTTTTTCATGTAAATTATTAATAAGTAATGGTGTCAATAGGCACTTTTACATCATGCAATTTTGTTGCCTTTGAAAAATTTACCCTTGCTTATTGACGCTTAACTCGAAATAATCTTGTTACCTACACCAATGTTTTCACTGAGATAAACGAAGTAAAGAAAAGAGCTCACCCGTGATGGAGTATTAAGCTGATAAGCAAATAATTCTTACTTCTCGGGTGAGCGGGGTTCCACCGTAGTTGCGTAACACTGCGATTCACGCAGTATACGCTTAAAATTACTACTTAACTCCAACAAAACAATACAGAATGTTAAAAAAATTAACAAAAGGTAACTTACAAAGAACATCAATTCGCCCTTCTGTGTCCAACACCTCCTTCACAGCTTTCTGCACTGACTCATCACTACACACGTCCATCTGTTTAACAACCAATGTGTCTCCAAGATATTCCTTTCCTTCTTCCTCCAGTTGTCCTTTCTTCGCCAGATTTCTCATGGTGGCGTAGACCTTAAAGCGTTTTTCGGCATCTTTGGCGAGAAACACAGCTGTTGCGAGTCCAATGCCACTGGAACAGCCTGAAATCAACACGATTTGGCGAGAAGACATGATTTCTTTCCCTCAACGTCGCTTCTTTCGGCCGTAACTAATGCGTGACTAATGCGTGACTTTCAGCGTGAGTAGTCATGCGTGACTCATCCCCAAACTCCCCGATAGAGTTCATTCGGGATGGGAGAGGTACAAGTCTATGTAGAATAGGCCAAAAAAAGGGGAAAATGAAATGCCCTGTGAAATGTCGACCTGGGTCACTATACTTATACAGGACAGGAAAGGTTTTCTGTTACAGTTAATGCTTTCTATTTATACAAGTTGCTTTCACTTGAATTGACGAGTGTAGCTAAACTAGAAAAGAAAAGCCTCAGATGTAGCAGCCTGAAGAACAGACGCCTTCTACGAGCAAATTTTGGTTCCTTCACGAAGGAGACGTCAAAAATTATTTTGTAAGTTGTAAACCATGGGCTACCTTCAAAAGACAGCTCACCAGCCGTTTAGGAAGTAGCTCCCAGATCATTCTCCATAACGAGAGAAGGACTACACCGTAAGCGTACAAAAAAATTATATAATTGTTCTTTCCGAGTACAAGTTGCAAGTGATACACGGGTAATAAAATGACCTTGAGTTACTTTCATAACTGTGCTTCTACTACGTTGCACTGGCTTGTACTCGACAAACCGAGCGGTACCGGGAGAAATAGTAATGATGACTGACACAGAATGAGGATAAGACATTTGATTCAGTCAGTATGATACACATCGGTTCATATGTGTACACACACACACACACACACACACACACACACGCACACACACACATATATATATATATGTATATTTAACATCTTTTTGTTGTTTTCCCAAGTAGGTCCCAGAACTGCAATGAAACGGTCTAAAAAACCCAGCAACATTTCTATTTACTAATCGACGAAAAAAACCTCTTTCGCGCGACGAAATAGATCCTTTGCCAGAAAACATTCAGAGCTTCACATAAAGGATGTAAAGATCGTTGCAGTGTTTGGCTTACTATATTAGTTGCGCAAGGAATGCTAAGTGAGATTGGGAAAAAAACCATTAGACTGGTGAACAGATCTCCCTATTAGTCACAAACATGCTGCAACGAAAACTCGAGTAGTAAGCCGATAAAAAGCTACTGATTAAATTCACAGTGTATTTGTACGCTAAATTTTATATATTGTTCAAATTTTACAAACATGAGTTATTCAGTGTCGAGAAAGTCTCTCTTCACCATTTCAACTAAAGTATTTCCTGTAGGATCGGCAAGCTTCACTTTGATTTCCTCGGGTCTGTATTTTGCATTTGTTTGGTATCGAAACTGTGGTTTCTCACAGAGGATAATATTCTTCACGTATTCTGCCACCTGGTGAGAAGTTTGCATCGTGCTTCCGAACATAGAGAACATTCTCCCCGCAAAGGTTCCCAGAAGTTCTTGACTCTTTTGGTCGGCGTCC